CAGGCTGTTGCTTCACATGGCAGGTCAGGACAACACCAATTGGCCACAGGCCATGCGATTTGCCACTGAGGAACGACTCAGGCAACAGATGGAGCTCCTTGGTTCCCCTGTTCAAAAAATGTTGCCGTACAATTCCCTGGTTTTGGTCAAAAGAAAAAGATGGCATGACAAAGGGAATTTGTTGGCTCAACCTTTTGTTGAAACACGGTTGTTGTGTCCAAGCCCTGACATGACTTTAGGTTGGCTTGTCCGAACGACTAAGGACCAACATGTTTTGCATGCTCGTGAGGCCATACTGCCAGATCCACTGGGCGATCAAGCCCAACTGCAACTCGAAGAAGACCTGCGGCCTGGCAAACCTCACTTGCGTCTTTGGCATAAGCAGCCACCTCCAGGACCAGCACCCATGAAACTGCCGCCACTGCCGCGATTGGATCGCGGGGGGGAGTCCTCTTTGGTTTTGGATTCTCAACTTGAAAAAATCCCTGAAAATGAACCCCGAAATGAAGTTGTTCTTGAGGTTGATGGTGAACATGGGGATAATGGGGATGAAATGTTGGGAATTTTTGATGAAATCGACCAAGAAAACCTTAGGGAGGCACCACGGTTTGTCAAAGGGTTGAACACCAATGCTGGGTCCGGGGGAGATGGTAACCCAAAAAACCCTGAAAATTTTGGTTTGGGATCAAAGTCAAGGGTTGTTGCCAAGTTGGAATCTTTGGATTGTTTGGAAAAATGTTTGGGTTGGAAACATCAAACCATCTCCAGTTCGTTACAAGACCTGTTGGATGTTGTTCCCACCACGAAATCTCTTGGGGAAATTTGTGGGGCTGATATCCAATGGCTTCAAGGGGAAAAAGAACGGTTGGAAAATGACTTGTTCCTGGTCCGTGATGCCCAAAATAAACGGGTTATTAAAATGTGTGGCCTTCAAACTGATGATGTCATGGCCGTGAATCCGGGGGAGGTCTTGCAAACAACCACAATCCCTTTGAATGAAGTCCGAAATGAACTTGGGGAATGGAAAGATGCGATGATGAAAGAATATAACAGTTTGGTCCATGAAACCAAGGCCATTGAACCTGTTGACCTTTCCATGTTGAACCAAGAAGCGGTTGAGTTTGTTCCTGGAAAACTTGTGACTGTTCGAAAAGCGGGTCCAAATGGTGGTAAAAAGAAATGTAGGGCAGTAGTTTGTGGAAACCTGCTGCAAAGTGACTTGGATCCTGCTCCGGGCAATCTCTACGCTTCTGGCGCTGATGGCATTCTGATCAGAGCTACACTGGCTCACTCCGTGCAGATGGGATGGGGCGCTGGCATTACCGACATTCGCACAGCATTTCTCCTTGCTCCTCGGCCGAAACCTCAAGATGCCCGGGAGGTGATTGTTGTGCCCCCAAAAATACTTGTGGAAGCCAAAGTTTGCAGCCCTTCTGAACGGTGGAGAGTTCATAACGCTTTATATGGGTTCACGTCAAGCCCGGCACATTGGGCCGTGCACAGGGATCAGGTCATGAGTGGGTTCACATGGAAGATGGATGGTTGTGACTTTTCCCTCAAAAGAACCGAAGAAGGGAACTTGTGGAAAATCATGAAACATGGTCATGGGGATGCCGAACCAACATGTGAAGGTCATGTTATTGTTTATGTGGACGACATCATGGCTCTTGCAAATGATAATGTTCGAAACTCCTTTTTTGACCGGTTGAAAAAAGAATGGAAATGTTCTGATGTTGAAACTGTTGACAAAAATGAATGGATCCGGTTTTGTGGTTTTGAGTTGAAAAGACATGATGATGGGGTGAGTCTGATGGTAGGACAAAAGTCTTACACTGCTGAGTTGTTGAAACGTCATGAACATGTTTCCCCAAAGTCATGCCCCATGCCAAAACTGGACAGTTCAGAAACGGATGAAACGGATATCACAACACCTGACGTCCGTGCAGCCCAAGCAATCACAGGTGAACTGCTTTGGCTTTCTGTGAGAAGTAGGCCTGACATAGCCTATGCTGTAAGTGTCATGGGAAGGAATGTTACTAGAAAACCAAGGTGGGTCCAACAGTTGGGACAACATGTGCTAGGGTTTTTGTGTAACACCCCAGAAACTTGCCTCCTGTACCGCCCTTGCAACAAGGACCACGGTGCACATGGCACACTTCAGGTACCAAGGCATGAGAAGCTCATTGAGGCTTTCGCCGATATCAGCTTCGCTCCTCAAGGTGACCGCAGTCACCAGGGCATCATTCTATGTGCTGCAGGATCTCCAATTCAGTGGGAGGCAACTCGGCAGGCATTTCACACCATGAGCACAGCGGAATCCGAATTGGTTGGATACTGCGAAGCCACAACAATGTTGAAATCTGCTGAGGCCCTATTGAAGGTTATCCATGGTTCATGCAACACGGGTGATGGTCTTGATGGGTTTGAAAAGGTTATTTATGGGGACAATTCAAGTGCACTTAGCATACTTATGAACCCTGATGGTGGATGGAGAACACGCCATTTGAGGCTTCGTTCGTCTTGCTTGCGTGAGTTGTTGAAAAGTGACCCCCAAACATGGAAAGTCAGACACCAAAGGGGAGTTGACCTTCCCGCTGACATGCTCACCAAACCAATCACGTTGTTGAGGGATTGGGTTAAGTTCTGGCATTTCCTTGGGTTTCATGTTGATGCGTCAATCCCCAAATATGACCCCGAAAACACGCCTCAAAAAACCTCCAAAGGGTCTTCCAAAACAACCGCCACTTCAGGACCTGATGAAACTAAGGGATCTGATGATGTGGTGACCAAGGTGAAGGTGATCGTAGCTATGGCTGCACTGGCTGTGGCTTCTACGGCAGCTGGGCGAGCTGACGTGCGGCTGGCCTGTGCTACTGCTGCTGCTGCCTGCGCTGGATGGCTGGCGTGCAACTGGCAGCCATCGCCTTCAAATGAAGGCCGATCCAATGGGATCTGTCTAGATGGGAGGGAGGTGGAAAAACCATCAAGAGCCATTGGCCTCAAAAGCGAAAAAGATGCCAGGGGAGATGAACCGGCCAAAGAAAAACCTCCAAGGGAAAATGAACCTGGAGGCATAAACCCTCAAATAAGAACCAAAAAATGTGTGAGATCTCCAAGGGAAGATGAACCTGGAGAAAACAGTTTTGGGAAGGTTTGGGATAGAACCCCTGAAAATGGTAATTGGGCTCACCGAACCTATGAAAGTGAAAGGGATTTTTGGGACAGTAACCCTGAAGAAGGTCCTGGTTTTGGGGATTTTGTGGCAGGAAACAGCTGTGGCATGGCGCACAACAGTTTTGAGTCCGTTGGTGGTGACTCTGAACATGTTGCTAAACTGTTGCAGCCACCGTTGGCTAATACCCACCACTGCCCTACGGGCTGCCCAAAAGTTCCGGCCGTGCGTTTAGCTGCCATGGCCCCAAAGATGTCAAAACCTGCGCCGCCGCTGCCGCCGCAGACGACAGGCGAAGCTGCTGCGGTGCCCGCTGCTGCTGCTGTACGCCGAAAGGCGCCGCCAATGATGCTGCAGTGTGCTGCCGCTTTGCAGGGTACCTCAACTGCTGCCAGCTCGGATGGTTCTCGAGCACGACAAGACCCTTACATAGGGGCTATGCCAAAGTTCCCTCCAGCTCGCCTGGCCGCAGAAAAGGCCATGAAAAAGGCAGGAGGCACTCAACTGGACCAAATGCCTCAACAAGGTCCATGGTTGGATGAGCGTTTTGGCGCTCCAAGCAGGAGTGGAAAAAAGGATGGATGGTCCGTAACCAAATGTGACCAAAGCATCTACCTGGTGCGAATCCATAGAGCTGCCCGAAAACAGAGGTTCCACCCCTTGCACCGAAGTGCGCCAGTTGATGCCAAATTCCTCACAGGTGAGCGCATCACAAAGGCGTTCTATGTGGATGGAAGAAATGGACCAGGCTTTCTGGTCGCCGACCGATGGAATGACCCTGTGGTTCGAGCTGAGTTTCAGTGGGTGGGGTTTACGTTCCTCAAGATGAAAATGGAAGCTATGGATGACCTCAACCTGAACATACAGCTGGAACCGGCAACAGTGACTGCTGGGCCCCCTTGGCCTCAACAGCAGTCCACCAATGACGATGACCTCGAGGTGCATGTGGGACGCCACCATGAAATGCATACTCCGAGGCGTCAAAGACCTCACCGTGAACCTGGCCTTTTGATCGGGAAGCTGTACCTAGATGGATGTCTTGCAGCTAGTGGCACAGGAACTATGTCCAGTGCTGAGTCCCGAGAACTCCAGGTGGAACCAATTGCGGGTCCAACAAGCCCGTACAACAAGTCTGCAGCTCCGATGTCTGTGGGCTACAATCGAGGTGGTGGCGTCATTCAACGTGGTGTCGCTGCTGTGGTGCCCTCCTCAAGCTCGAGCGCTACTCCTGCTGCTCCCTCAGTCCCAAGATCCTACCAACCGCTAGTCGAAGAGTGGGCTCTGGTGACTGATGAGGAGTCCGATGATGTCAATGTGAATGAGGAGGAGCCCTAAAACAATGAAGACTGGAAGAAGCGCTGCTGAGAGCCGGGCTACGAAAGCCATTTTGGCTGAACTTTTGATGTTCCGCAGCAAGCTGCGGGGGGGAGTGCGATTCATGAAGCATTCCACCAGCTGCTGTGGATTTTAAAACTTAGAAGTTGACATGTGGTGGCATGCACCAAACATAGCATGGCCACTGCGCAAGGATGACATGTGACTGCCATTGCAAAATGGCTCAAGCCAACGAAAGTTGGCACAAAGGCGAGACTGAAAAAGTCTTGCCTAGCAGCTGCTGCTTCAGTTGTTGATCCACGGAAAGAAAAAGAGACGCCTCAAAATAGACCAACGATTGGAAAGGAATCGCATCCTGGAAATCGATGGAAAAGAATGCACCATGTTCATATAAAAATGGAAAAAATACCAAGCAGTACAACACTGGAACAGGTTGACTCGGTTTTTCGTAAAAATAAAGTCACAAAGTTTCCAAGATGAAAATCCAAGCAGCACTGTTCAGGAACAGAGCTCCACCTACCAGGGTACAATGATCGTAGCTTCATTGGCTTCATGTTTCGCAAAAGAATACAACGAGTGCAGTTCAATTAACATCAACTAAAATTGATGTTCAATTATATATATATGATATATATATATGATATATATATGATATATATATATATATGTAACACTAGCTAGCTATGATTATATTGATTATATAGATTTATATAGGCTATTTCAATCCATCCAGGTCATAATAACATTCTGAGACGACCCAAAGAACAAATGCCCTAGAAATGGAAGCCCTCACATTCATCCCATATTGTTCAATCTTTACACAGCGTTTCTCAAGAAGAATGCAGACTTTACACAAGCTGAGGAACGCAGCCACATAGCGTTGAGCTCCCCACAGTTTCTTACATTATGTTCCGTCTCATGTGTGCTTGAGCCAAATTGCAAAAAGATTCTCAGTCCTGCAGGCTCTTCTCAAGCAAACACAAGAAATTGGATACCGAGATGGGTTCACGACATTTAAAGTACAACGATGCATGTGGTAGGTCATACCACATTGCTTTTAGTCAAAAGCCAGCAAAGAAACAGGGAGTGTCTTTTATGCGCGTGTGTATCTGCAATCGTGGCTTGTGAGACTGGTGAATCATCTACCTGTGGATGCTAAACATAAGTGTCATAAGTGAGTCAAATTTCGTATGAAAATCCGAAGCACCAAAATCTGATGGTCGTTTGATGGTCGTTTGATGGTCGTTTGATGGACGTTTTTTCTTTAAAAAAAGCTGTGATCCCCGATGTCGGTCATGGCCAAGTCCTCAGCCTGAGAGTATCTTCCTTGACCGGCATCCAATGGCGCATATTCCTGGCGGTCACGTCACGTGATACCGACACGGCCTTGGAAAGTTCCCATGTGGATGAACATGAACGTTCCACGAAGCCGAAATCAACTTTGAATCTGCTGGACTTTGTCTCCTGCGATACTGTACAACGCAGATTTGCCAGATTTGCCAACACTTTCAGGAGATGGAAGGGGTCAAGTGACCATCCATGTCTTTCATGCGTGCTAGCAGTCTGGCAAAATCAGACAAACTTAATGATGGATTGTTTTCGAAATTATTGAAACGAAATAACAATTACAATGGCCAAAACAATGCCAGGTCCGATAGTTCGTGGACCATGTCTTCAGGGTCTGCATCTTCAAATGAGCTTGCCCATTTTGCAATGCCCTGTTCGATGAGCAAGAACCTTTCTGGCCACAAGCCCAAAGAAATTGTCACGGAATCATCCATGGCATCCACAAGAACCATATCAACCACATCTTTTAAACTTTGCCACTTCTGCAGGAAAGCTTGTGCTGCAGAAACGCGTTCTTCCAAACATCTATGATTTCTTGGAGCATTGGTGCTCAAGGGCCAGGAATCGGCCGCATGTGCTTCACACAGATACATAAATATCACTGAACAGCGCCCTTGAAACTTCTCGCGCAGGATTTTTTGCAGTGTTGCATCAGCCAGTTTTGCCAGAAATGGAGGTCAGGATGATGTTGATGCCACCACCAAGGCTCGTGGCATACTGAGGATGTCGCCCAACTCAACTGGTCGTGTGCCAAGTGGGTCAATGCGATGAACCGTTCCATGCAGTTTCTTTCCTCCTAAGTCTGCACGAGGACGAAAGAGTCTGTCATTGGCTCGCAGAAAGAAAATATCGGCCCGCTGCTCGAGATCAAGGTTGGAGGCGGCATCGCGATATGAAACCACATCATCCAAGGTCAAGCCATGCATTTTCAATGCCCTGGCCTCTACATCTTCATCCAACTCCCCAGGTGGCATAGAACACGAGTCATAAAAGGTTTGTGTTTTGGCTATGTAATCTTCACTAAGGCGCAGGAGTGCTTCTGTTCTAAGAATTGGTAAACACCATGGCTCTCTGTCAGACTTTTTCGGAAGCAAATCGGGATGATCACAGAGCAATTTCAGCGATGTCGATATCTCTCTTCCTGTGCCCATTGGAAATGTCTTCGGTGCTTCCGGTAATGGTTGGAGTTTCTCATCTAAAGCATGATCCTTGGCTTTTGATGTAGCCCTCTCCACTGGAAGTGCAGAGCTGACGTCACCTGGGGAATAATGGCCTCGCACAGCCTTTGAAAAGATTCTGGGCATCATCATGGAAACAGAAGCATCAGAAGCTATTTGATCCAAAAAGGTCAGGTGAAGCGCATGAAGTCAAGACAGGCATCACCCCACTCGCAGGCGAAGAAGATTGGTAGTGACAAGGAAGTAAGTCTTCTGTTGTGTGCCTGACTTCTGGCCACTGTTTGTTGGCATTTGTGAATGGAACAAGCAGCAATCTTGCTAGAGAGCATATTCAAATGAAAATTCGTGGACAAGTTCTTTGTCAACCCCCCTGGCCCTCAATACTCCCTATCTTTCCACTATGATCCTTCCCCATGTTGTGGCAGGGCAGCAGGTCTGAACTTCACAGCAGAATCGTTTCTCAATGTTTCTCAACAAAAAAAGAATAAAACAAACACGTCACCGGAGTCGACCACCAGCATCACTAGCATAGCTTTCATTCTGTGCCTCTTTGCACTCCTTTAATGGACCTTCTCTTTTTTCTTTCAACGCCTTCCAGTCCACAAGGATCGCAAGTGCGCGGGCATGTTATCTTCTTAAAATGTCTCTACTCAACAGAAAGTGCCGAGAGCTGTCAGTTTCCGCCTGCACTTCTTCTCGACTGCAGCTTTGTGCACTGATACTGTGGAGCTCCTGGCCAACTGGCAGAAAGTGTTGCAATTGGTCAATTCAATTGGGCCCTGAAAAATGGTTGTGGTTCCACTAAAATGACCAAATGTGTGGGTCCATTGGTACCTCAACTTTGAGCCGAGCCTGGCAACCAGGAAGGTACACCAGACGTATCAGCGGAGCAGCTTTCTCCTGACGGATGTCATACTCGGAGAGCTGACTGATGTCACGGTTGTCGAATATTATGGATGATGGCAGCACCTAAAGGTTGTGTACTGCGGTTGCAACAAAATGTGAACATGCAAATCATGCAGATGGGTTCCTTCTCCTTTTTTCTTTTCTTCTGCTTGTGAGAGTTCTGCTCAAACTGGAATACCTTTCGGATCGGACAAAATGATACAAGATGGACAATGTCATTCCTCATGCCGCTGCGACAATGTCATTCCTCATGCCGCTGCATCTGCAAACTGACCAGTCAGCCTGCATCACCTGCAGGGAGTCATGGAGCTCTATACGAAGAGGGCGCCATGCCTCGAGGCTCAGCGAAGCTCAGCGAAGCTCAGCGAAGCTTGGAAAGGTATGGAAAGGTTGGACAGCCCCAGCATTCCATATCGGGTCTTTCAAGACATTTCAAAAACATCAATGGAATCTAAACTAAGATCAGGACATTGACGAGGGCTTGTATACAACTCACAACATCAGCACGCGACCATTGAGCCTTGTGATCCCGACAGGTTCTGTCAGAGGCCGATTCTGCGAACATGTTTAGAACCGTTGGAACCTCGGAAAAGTATTCACAACATCTGCAGGACTCACCGTCACAGCAGGTAGTGGTTTCCGCTCGTGGAGTGCTGCCGCAACCTGCTTGTTGCTTGTTACAGCATCAGCAAGAATTGCGCGTGGCTTTACAATGAATTGCTGGGCAGTTTGCTTCAATGACTTGTACTCAAAGCTGTGACCTGCCTGCCCAAGGAATCCACTTGTTTCCTGCCCTCCATCCTTGCCCTTTTCGGACCTTACCATATTCCAACACAATGCACACGAAGAAAGGCGCCAAAAAGACACACCATGCTTTGCCACTGAGAGCCCATCGGCTGAGCCACATTCTCTTCGTCCTGGCAGGTTCCAATGAATTCAACTCTTAAGTGCTCTTAAGTGCTCTTAAGACTCTTAAGCACTCTCAGCACTCTTAAGTCAAAAATGTAGATCGGCTATGATCGGCTTTCCTTCACTCAACTTTCGGGCAAAGTTCAACTCTTTGGCCTGCTCTTCTGCGTGCTTGATGGTGATTGATGCCAAATCTCGCGCATTGAGCAAAGGTCCAGTGGCACGAGCCACTGCTCGAAAGACATCCTGCCCATGCCGGCGGTGATAGGCACTACCAGTCATGGGTTTACCATGGCTTCATCCAATTAGCTGACCAGTCAAATGGCAGGTCAGCTACACCCTGTAAGAACTCTTCAATAGGTTGACACATGAAAGAACCAAGATACACACTATAATGGATTATATGGGATATATAATGGATATATATGGATATATAATGGGATATATAGTGGATATGAGTTGAAATGCCATTGTAAGTGGCTGCCCAGCTACCCAGCTGTCCTCCATAAATTTATGGAGTTCCCCGTGCACAGCTTCTGCTTTTCGCAGCTCTGCAGCGCGACGAGGTACACCAGCCTCGGCACCGTCATGGGGTTTGTTGCACTGTGTGTTGCACTGCAACACACACATTATTTATATCCAAATGTCCTCTGTTTATATGTGTATTATATTGTTATTATTATTATTGTTATTATTATTATTGTTATTGTTACTATTATTATTGTTATTATTATTGTTATTATTATTAGTAGTATTAGTATTATTATTATTGTTATTATTATTATCATCATTATATATATATTATTATTGTATATATATATCATATATATATATATATGTATACATTCCAAATGATTTCACCAATTCACGAATAGCAACTCATCATAATTCCTAGCCGTCATAGCAATGCAGCGTTGGCTCTGACCCCCCTGCCTCCGTTCTGGAAAGGAATCGCAGTTCATCGGTGAGGATCTCGGCACTCAAACAGAGAGCGTTCGTGTCGATTTCCCTACTCAAACTGAGGTGATTGACAGATATTCACAGGAGCTATGTGTGGCTAGCACTGCTTTTCTCATAGACTTATGCTATGTGTGGCTATTATGGATAATCAAAATTGATTGTGTCACTATGTACACACTGTCTTTGCAGCTTGTGAGACTTACTCAGGTTGTTCTGCATGCTCCTTCACTTGCTGCCAAACCTCAGTCCAAAAGCGCAGAAAGGAACATCCCAAACTACAATGCCTCACAGGTGGTCCGGCCTTGCCATAGGCTTCCCAGTAGCCAACTTCATGATATGGCAAATCGAGCCTTGGAAAAATCTGCTCCGGGTGGTTTTCTACGCTGGTACATCTCATCCCCATAGGGAGGGCTGCTGATTTATGTAGATACATAATCATGTATGTATAAACAGTGTACACACATATAATGTATCTGTATATGTATAAATATATATATATACACACACATATGTTTATCCGCCGACCCCTGCCGACAGCAGGGGGAGCGCGTCAGAGGAGGAATTACCAGCAGCAAGGGCCAAGAAGTCATTACAAGCAGCAAGGGCAAGAAGCAAGAAAACATGAAAGAAGAAGCAAGAAGCAAGAAGCAATTACAGGCAACAAGCGGCAAGAAGCAAGAAACAAGAAGCCAGGAAGCAACAAGCGGCTGGAAGACAGGTCAGAGAAGTCATTACAAACGGCAAGGGCAAGAAGCAAAAAAACCAGAAAGAAGAAGCAAGAAGCAAGAAGCAATTACAGGCAACAAGCGGCAAGAAGCAAGAAACAAGAAGCCAGGAAGCAACAAGCGGCTGGAAGACAGGTCAGAGAAGCAAGAAACAAGAAGCCAGGAAGCAACAAGCGGCTGGAAGACAGGTCAGAGAGCTAGTTTTCTTGTCGATTCAGAAAGCAACGGTAGGCAGGCGGCTGGAAGACAGGTCAGAGAGCTAGTTTTCTTGTCGATTCAGAAAGCAACGTTAGGCAGGCGGCTGGAAGACAGCTCAGAGAGCTAGTTTTCTTGTAGGTTGAGAAAGCAACGTTAGGCAGTGGGAGCCGTTGCCCGGAGGCTCGGTCCGTCCTTCAGGGCCCTGCTGTTTTGCTGTGGCGAGGGCGCCGTTTGTGAACCTTGACGGCTGGAAGAGAGCTAGTTTTCTTGTAGGTTCAGAAAGCAACGTTAGGCAGTGGGAGCCGTTGCCCGGAGGCTCGGTCCGTCCTTCAGGGCCCTGCTGTTTGGGCGTGGCGGAGGCGCCGTTTGTGAGCCCTGACGGCTGGAAGAGAGCTAGTTTGGGAGCCGTTGCCCGGAGGCTCGGTCCGTCCTTCAGGGCCCTGCTGTTTTGCTGTGGCGAGGGCGCCGTTTGTGAGCCTTGACGGCTGGAAGAGAGCTAGTTTTCTTATAGGTTCAGAATGCAACGTTAGGCAGTGGGAGCCCGGAGGCTCGGTCCGTCCTTCAGGGCCCTGCTGTTTGGGCGTGGCGGAGGCGCCGTTTGTGAGCCTTGACGGCTGGAAGAGAGCTAGTTTGGGAGCCGTTGCCCGGAGGCTCGGTCCGTCCTTCAGGGCGCTGCTGTTTTGCTGTGGCGAGGAGGCCGTTTGTGAGCCTTGACGGCTGGAAGAGAGCTAGTTTTCTTGTCGGTTCAGAAAGCAACGTTAGGCACTGGGAGCCGTTGCCCGGAGGCTCGGTCCGTCCTTCAGGGCCCTGCTGTTTGGGCGTGGCGGAGGCGCCGTTTGTGAGCCTTGACGGCTGGAAGAGAGCTAGTTTGGGAGCCGTTGCCCGGAGGCTCGTCCGTCCTTCAGGGCCCTGCTGTTTTGCTGTGGCGAGGGCGCCGTTTGTGAGCCTTGACGGCTGGAAGAGAGCTAGTTTTCTTGTAGGTTCAGAAAGCAACGTTAGGCACTGGGAGCCGTTGCCCGGAGGCTCGGTCCGTCCTTCAGGGCCCTGCTGTTTGGGCGTGGCGGAGGCGCCGTTTGTGAGCCTTGACGGCTGGAAGAGAGCTAGTTTGGGAGCCGTTGCCCGGAGGCTCGGTCCGTCCTTCAGGGCCCTGCTGTTTTGCTGTGGCGAGGGCGCCGTTTGTGAGCCTTGACGGCTGGAAGAGAGCTAGTTTTCTTGTAGGTTCAGAAAGCAACGTTAGGCAGTGGGAGCCGTTGCCCGGAGGCTCGGTCCGTCCTTCAGGGCCCTGCTGTTTGGGCGTGGCGGAGGCGCCGTTTGTGAGCCTTGACGGCTGGAAGAGAGCTAGTTTGGGAGCCGTTGCCCGGAGCAAGAAGGCAATTACAGGCAACAAGCGGCAAAAGAAGAAAAAGAAGCAAGAAACAACAAGCCAGGAAGCAACAAGCGGCTGGAAGACAGGTCAGAGAAGCAAGAAACAAGAAACCAGGAAGCAACAAGCGGCTGGAAGACAGGTCAGAGAGCTAGTTTTCTTGTCGATTCAGAAAGCAACGTTAGGCAGGCGGCTGGAAGACAGATCAGAGAAGCAAGAAGCAAGAAGCCAGGAAGCAACAAGCGGCTGGAAGACAGGTCAGAGAGCTAGTTTTCTTGTCGATTCAGAAAGCAACGTTAGGCAGGCGGCTGGAAGACAGCTCAGAGAGCTAGTTTTCTTGTAGGTTCAGAAAGCAACGTTAGGCACTGGGAGCCGTTGCCCGGAGGCTCGGTCCGTCCTTCAGGGCCCTGCTGTTTTGCTGTGGCGGAGGGGAGGACGCCGTTTGTGAAGCATTGCGGCTGGAAGAGAAAGAGAGCTAGTTTTCTTGTAGGTTCAGAAAGCAACGTTAGGCAGTGGGAGCGGTTGCCCGGAGGCTTGGTCCGTCCTTCAGGGCCCTGCTGTTTGGGCGTGGCGGAGGCGCCGTTTGTGAGCCTTGACGGCTGGAAGAGAGCTAGTTTGGGAGCCGTTGCCCGGAGCCTCGGTCCGTCCTTCAGGGCGCTGCTGTTTTGCCGTGGCGAGGGCGCCGTTTGTGAGCCTTGACGGCTGGAAGAGAGCTAGTTTTCTTGTAGGTTCAGAAAGCAACGTTAGGCACTGGGAGCCGTTGCCCGGAGGCTCGGTCAGTCCTTCAGGGCCCTGCTGTTTTGCTGTGGCGGAGGCGCCGTTTGTGAGCCTTGACGGCTGGAAGAGAGCTAGTTTGGGAGCCGTTGCCCGGAGGCTCGGTCCGTCCTTCAGGGCGCTGCTGTTTTGCTGTGGCCAGGGCGCCGTTTGTGAGCGTTGACGGCTGAAAGAGAGCTAGTTTTCTTGTCGGTTCAGAAAGCAACGTTAGGCGCTGGGAGCCGTTGCCCGGAGGCTCGGTCCGTCCTTCAGGGCCCTGCTGTTTGGGCGTGGCGGAGGCGCCGTTTGTGAGCCTTGACGGCTGGAAGAGAGCTAGTTTGGGAGCCGTTGCCAGGAGGCTCGGTCCGTC